CTGAAACTGAGAAGCTTCTGTAAGGCAACGGACACAGTCAGCAAGATAAAAAGGCAGCCCACAGAATGGGAAAAATATTCACTAACCCCACATCTGACAGAGGGCTGATCTCCAAAATTTACAAAGAACTCAAGAAGCAAGTCTCCAAAACACCAAAGGATCCAATTAAAAAGTGAGCTACAGAACTAAATAGAGAATTCTCAATAGAGTAGTCTAAAATGGCTGAGAGGCACTTGAGAAAGTGCTCAACATCCTTAACCATCCGGGAAATGCAAATTAAAATAACTCTGAGATACCATCTCACTCCTGTCAGAATGGCTAAAATCAGAAACACAAACGACAATTAATGCTGGAGAGGATGTGGTGAAAGGGGAACACTGCTCCACTGCTTGTGGGAGTGCCAATTTGTACAGCCACTTTGGAAATCAGTATGGAGATTCCTCAGAAAAATGGGAATAAACCAACCAAAAGACCCAGCAACTCCATTCTTAGGCATATAGCCAAAAGATGCCCATTCATACAACAAGGATGTCTGTTCCACTATGTTCATAGCAGCATTATTTGTAATAGCCAGAACTTGGAAGCAACCTAGATTCCCCTCAACTGAAGAGTGGATAGAGAAAATGTTGTACTATTCAGCAGAAAAAAAAAACAATGAAATCCTGAAATTTGCAGGCAAATGGATGGCACTAGAGGAAACCACCCTGAGTGAGGTAACCCAGTCACAAAAAGAGAAACATGGCATGTACTCTCTCATATATGGATTTTTTACATAGATCTGGGGAGTGCCAGCCTACAATCCCATGGCCAGTGAGTCTGGGAAACAGAACCTTCATTCAGTGGCTGATGGAAGCAGAGGCAGACTCCCACGGCTAAGCACTGAGCTGAACTCAAGAAATCCAGTGACTAAGAGGGAAGACTGATGACCAAAGGGGTTAAGATTGGGCTGGTTTAACCCCCAGAAACAGCTGACCTGACAAGGTTAGCTCTTGAATCCCAGACTCATGGCTGGGAATCCAGCATGGGACTGATCAAGACCCCCTGAATGGGAGTGTCAGTGAGGAGGCCTAGGTAATCTATTGAGCCTTGGGCAGTAGATCAGTATTCATCCCGAGTATACACACGGACTTTGGACTCCCATCCAACAATGAGAGATGCACTCTCACCCTGGACTCTTGGGGGAGGGTCTAGGCCCTGCCCTGGATGAAATGACAGACTATGGACACCCCCATGGAGGGCCTCACCCTCCCTGGGGAAATGGGGGGATATTGGAGGGGTTGGTGGGAGGATGCGGGAGGAGGGGAGGAAAAGGGAGAGGGACCTGGAATTGACATGTGAATCAACCTTGTTTCTAATTTAAATTTAAATTTAAAACTAAAATATAAAAAAGTAGGGGTAAAGCCTATAATCCACACCACCAGAAAAACTAGGAAACAAGGAGGACTCTAAGAGAGACATACATGGTTCCCCAGAGAAGGGGAAAGGGACAAGATCTCCTGAGCTAATTGGGGGGAGGGGAGAGGAAGTTAGGAGAAAGAGAAGGGGAGAAGAGGAGGGGAGAGGAGGACATGAGGGAGCAGGAAGATTGAGACGGGAAGAAAAGAGGAGAGCAAGAAAAGAGATACCATAATAGAGGGATCCATTATAAGTTTAAAGAGAAATTTGGCACTTGGGACATGTCCAGAGATCTACAAGGATGACACCAACTGATAATCTAAGCAATAGTCGAGAGGCTACCTTAAATGCCCTTCTCCAATAATGAGATTGATGACTACCTTATACACCATCCTAGAGCCTTCATGTAGTAACTGATGGAAGCAGAAGCAGACACCTACAGCTAAACATTGAGCTGAATTCTGAAATCCAGTTGCAGAGAGGGAGGAGTGATGAGCAAAGGGGTCAAGACCAGGCTGGAGAAACCCACAGAAATAGCTGACCTGAACAAAGGCGAACATATGAACCCAAGACTGATAGCTGGGAAACCAGCATAAGACTGTTCCAGACCCGCTGAACAAGGATGTCAGTTTGGAGACCTGGGCAATCTATGGGGCCTCTGGTAGTGGATCAGTATTTATCCATAGTACACGAATGGACTTTGGAAGCCCACTCCACACAGAGGGATACTTGTCAGCCTAGACACATGGGGGAGGGCCTAGGCCCTGATCCAAATGATATGATATGCTCCCGGGGGAGCAGAAAGGGATGGGATAGGGGGTTGGTGGGGGCCAGGAGAGGAGGCAAGGGAGAGGGAACTGGGATTGACATGTAAAACAAGCTTGTTTCTAATTTAAATTTAAAAAAAGGGAAAAATAAGTAGGGGTAATCTTTGAGATAGAAATTTGACAAGGTTTAACTGACTTTGTCATCAGGTTATTCCTTCCTCCCCATGGTCCTCAGACAACCTGGCAATGAGCTGAATTTGTTTTCATGATGCTTTAAAATTTTTACTACTGTTATTTATGCATATGTGTTTGTATCTCTCTCTCTCTCTCTCTGTCTCTGTCTCTGTCTCTCTCTCTCTCTCTCTGTCTCTCTCTCTCTCTCTCTCTCTCTCTGTGTGTGTGTGTGTGTGTGCTGGTGCCACAAGCCACAAGAGGCCACTGAAGTTACAGGCAGTTGTGAACTGCCCATGAGAAGCTGGGAAACAAACTCCAGTCCTCTGCAAGAGCATCAAGCACTTTTAACCACTAGTCCATATCTCCAGACTCTAAATATTTTCCATGACATCTTTTTTATTGTGTGTGTGGGGGCAGTATGGGGCAGGGTGGGGCAGGTGCATGTGTGTCATGGCATACAAGTGGAGATAAGAAGACAACTTCCATAAGTCAGTTCCTCTTCCCGCCATGTGGGTCTCAGGGATCAAACTCGGATTGTCAGGCTTACAGCAAATGCTTTTGCCTGTCTGGCCATCTCACCAGCCCCTTTTCTCGACTTTTTTGGATGCTTTGCATAGGAAGTCAGTAGCATTGATGCTCTTCTCTATGTGACTAATTTTTCTGAGTGACCTTTCATCTTGCCTACCTTGACCATTTGAACTTGACGCCACAAGTGTAGTTTTCAGTCCAATAGTCTAAGTTGTGCTGGGCTGCCCCCAAAGTGTCTGCTGTCAACCTTGTTCCCAGGTGGACAGTGGCCACTGCCTGTGTGGTGGTTCAGGGCCTCTTGCTGCATGAGTGGCTGCTGGGAATAGGAGGGACCATTTGTCTTGTCTCCTAATTACAGGCCGACACACTCAGGACTACTTAACTATGAAATGCATCCTTTCCTGGATGTCTGCTCTTCTCCATGACTCAGGCCATAATTTCCTTCTGGCCTCTGGGGAGTTCTTAGGGCCTCTCACAGTTCCTAAATCTATTTGCTTCCTGTCTTGGCTGCTGGTCAGCAGTGCTGCATTAAGTGCCTCCCCAGTCATTTTTGGCTGGCCCGGGAGCTGTTGCCTTAAGTCAGCATGGAAGACTCCATGGGCTCTGGGTCCTTGTCCCCAGACTCTGAAAAGACACATGAAGCTGGCCATGGGGTCCAGTGCATGCACCATCAGATTCCTTTCAAACCTGTGTCTTGGGTCACAGATTGGTTTTCTAAAGGCCTCCAGCTCTAACTCTGTGAATATAAAATGGCAGATTCCTCAGGAAAAGTCTGGCTCCCCTCGAGACTTCCATAATTCTGAGAACTTCTTTTCTCCCTGGCCCCTGTGCTGTTCCTACTTATCTGGTGACTTCTAAGGACAACGTCAGACAGGTCTGAGATATAAAGTGGGTGCCCAGAGGGATTGTCAACTCTGCTGGTTAGTTTTTTTCTGTTTCTGTTTTTGCTTTTCCCAAACTGACACAAGCCAGAGTCGTCTGGGAACAGGGAACCCCAACTGAGAAAATGCCTCCATCAGATTGGCCTGCAGGCCAGTCTATATGGACATCTTCCTGACTGATGATTGATAGAGGAGAGCCCAGTGCACTGTAGGCTGTGCTATCCCATGGACAAGTGGTGCTGGGTGCTATAAGAAAGCAGGCCGGGCAAGTCATGGGAGGCATGGCCAATAAGCATCACTCCTCATGGTCTCTGCTTCGGTTCCTGCTTCCAGGTTCCTGCCTTGAGTTTCCGCCCTGGATTCTCACAGTAACAGAGGGCATGCAAGCCAAACAACCTGTCTCCTCCCCTCAGTTGGTTCAGTCAGTGTTTTATTATAGCAACAGAGAAGCCACCTAGGACAGCAACTTTAAGGGGACATGTGATAGACGGATGGTGTAAGGTGGAGGAAGGTGTTGGGGATGGAAGGGAGTGTCTACGACCTCCAGGTTTTGCTCAATCCCAGGGACTAATGAAAGGAAGGTCTCCTGTGTACATAGTGTCATCCCAACCAAGTCTTTCTTGGGGAGTTTAAGGTAAGACAGATGGGCCAGTCCTTGGACGCAGTCCATGTCAGACACAGAGCAACTACAAGGTCTGCTATTGATGGAACACTGTGGTCACGCCAAGAATTTGGCTGTCAGAAAGGGCTCAGGTGCCTGCTGCATGGCGAGGTGTGGTCATCACGGGATATAGTCCTTTAGCTGAACACCCCTGCCTTGTTGTCAGATAGTCAGACTTCTGCCCATCATACACGTGAGAGAGGACACGTGTAGAAAATTGGGAAGAGGCTAAGTTGGGGAAGTGAGCTGCAGGAAGTTCCCAAGTACCTGATTCCCGGCACTCTTGTCCTTAACTAAGCCTGGCTTCATTCCTCTTGCCTGGGTGAGAGTTCTGCTTCCTTTCTACACCTCCAAGACCTGCCATGGGTATTTCTAGAAGATGGTGCCTGTTGCCCATTGCATAGAAATGGGTGGAGGGGTGGAGGTGGAGAGTGGAGAGAGAATTCTGACCTCCACCCCATGACAGAGCAGTTGCATCTATTGTGGTGTCTTACCCTTGGTCCCACCCTCTGGCTACCAGCTCTAGTTTCCAGGCCTGGAACGTGGGGAACAGCTCCAGGTGAGTGACCAATCATTGGTCTCAGGGTCCCTTACCTGTATCTCTGTTTCACAGACTGCTTCTCTGTAGACTTGCACACATGCCCTGCGTAGTACAATGGGAAGAAGAGAAAGTTCCAGTTGGTGGCAAACCAAGTCAGGGTGAAGGGTGCATCGAAGGTCTTGAAAGTCAGTCTGGCGAGCTGTGTGGAGCCGGCCCAGGAGGCACACACGCAGAACACGACGGCCACTCCCCAGAAGACCTTCCTCAGCAGCTCTTGAGAGCATGTCCAGCGCTGCCGGCTCGTCCTCCCTCCAGCCTCTGTCCCAGCTTGCGCCTGGGCCTCTGCAGGGCCCGGGGGCTCCCGGGGGCGCTCCTCCCCTGAAGAAGAGAAGGGGTGTTAGTTGGGTCTTAGGACTTCTGGCTGAATCCACAGTTGGGTTTCTGGCAACCATGAGGGGACAGGGAGGTTGGGTGCTAGGCGATGCTCTGGACTGCAACTGGAAGATGCAAGTCAGGTTTCCTACCCTGTAGAGCTCTGGCCCACAGGGAGGGACCCCCAGGCCAGGTTCTGTCAGCACCCTTCAACTCTGCCCTGGGAGCCTTGTAGAATGGCAAACCTTTGGGCTCCACCTCAGACCCTTGAGCCAGACCTGACTTCAACAGGTGACCTGCCTGCTGAGTTTAAGGAACATATTTCCAGAACAGATGGAGACACTGAGACACGGGGTCTCATATGGTCCAGATTACATTAAACTTGCTATGAAGCTGAGGAAGACCTCGAACTTCTGATACTCCTACTTGTACCTCCCTGGTGCTGGAATTACAGTTCTGTGTCACCACATCCTATTTATGAAACACTAGGGATTAAATTCAGGGCTTCATGTTTCCAAATATTCCTTTGCACTGTGGGCAGGTGTGTCACTATGATTGGTTTCATAAAGAGCTGAATGGCCAACAGCTAGGCAGGAAGAGGTTAGGCGGGACTTCTTGGGACAGAGAGGTCTGGGGTAAGGAGAAAGGCAGAGTCGCTGGCCAGAAGCCAAGGAAGCAGGATGGTTAGTACAGAGCAAAGGTAACTGAACCACGTAAAAGCACACAGATTAAAAAATATGGGTTAATTTAAGTTACAAGAACTAGTTAGGAACAAGGCTAAGGAATCCTAGCTTTCCATAATTAATAATAAGCCTCTGTGTCATTATTACTGAGCTGGTGGCTCAAAGAAAAATCTGTCTACAGCTTCATTCATACTAGGCAAACACTCTACTAACTGAGCTACATCCCCAGCCTCATGTATTTATCTGTGTGTTGGGAATGCAACCCAGGGCCTTGGAATACTAGGCAAGTTTCTAACACTTAACTGTAATCCAGCATTCTCAACCCTTTTAATTCTGAAGCAGACTTTCACTAAGTTATTTAGGCCAGCCACAAACTCACTGTAGCTCAGATTAGTCTTGACCTTAAGATCCTCCTGCCTCAGGTTTCCCAGTATTGGAATGAAATGCGTGCATTTTCACCTCATTTATGTCAGCTCACATGTGTTTATGTGTTGCTGGGCTGCAAAAGGACCAAGGGATTTCTCATGGTGGGGATGATGAGCTGTGACATCTACAAGGTACAAGACCTTGATGGCTGCTCCTTTCTGTCTGGCCTTGAAAAGCAGATGGTTTTCTTATTCTACACATAGTACCCACATAGCCATGGCTTCTCCTTCCATCTACTCCAATCACCTTCCTGCAGATGTCCCCCAGCCTCACCTCCAAGCTTCCCTTAAAAGCCTCCAGCTCTGGGCAGCTGCTGTGTGAGAGACCATAGATACAGAAAGCTGTGTCACTTGGAGGAGTCTGGCTGCAGCCCACAGCTGGACTGCGCCATCTCTGTTCTCAAAGACATTGAGAAGGCAAGAGAGCCCATGTCCAGTGTGAGCAGGACAGATGCAGACATACAGAACTTGCCTTTCATGGCATCTCCCTGGCACTTGGCTAAATGGAGGAAGACATTGTGTTTTGCTTAACTCCAACAGCCACTTGAACAATTTCAATTGAACAAAAGTTTGCATGCCTTCTGAAACATTGTACTTCTATGGGGAAAATCTGAACTCAAAGAGACCAGTCTGATGCATCTGTTTGAGTCAAAAACAAAACAAAACAAACAAACAAAAAACCCAGAAGAACCTAAGGAGACCACGGCTAGCCAAGGCCATGTGTCTTAGTAAAATGTAGCTTAGACGAGGGTGTAGCTCAGGTGGTGGAGTATGTGCCTAGCATGCACAAGGCTCTAGGTTCCATCTTCACCATTGCACAAACCGAACTGCGGTGGCACACAGCTGTGATCCCAGCACTTGGGAGTTGGCAGCAGTAGGGTCAGAAGCTCAGGATCCTTATTGGCTACACAGTGAGTTTGAAGCCAACCTAGGATGGATATATATCCTTCTGTTTCCAAGTGGGAAGACCCCAGGGAAATCAAAGCCATGACTCCCATTCAGTCTTCTGCATGATCCTACCCTAGGGTGGGGAAGGCCCAAGAGAGACAAGAATAGGTCCAGCTTCTTGCTTCATGCCCTCCCACCAGTGTTCTCTGAATTGGCTCATAGTAAATTCTCAAAACTGAAGGAGAATTCACTTCAAGCAAAAGTAGGATGCATTTAATTTCCCTGACTACCTGTCAGGAGCACTTCACAGTTGGGGTACTCAGAGAATGCATCCCTGTCTCGGCCATGAGCTCATATTAAAAAAACGGTGGAAATAAAGACAATATCTGTTTAGGATAAAATTCAGGTTCATGGTAAGACTCCGGAGGGGACAGCAGGCCTTCACTGAGGATTTTAGCATGCTTCTTCAACTACAGTTCTTATAAGTGTTAGTGCAGCTGTCATGCTTTATTGGATTAAGAAGCACCTGGGACACTGCAGAGGCACACCTTTGGATGTGTCTGTGAGGGACCCTCCAGGGAGGATTGACTGAAGGAGGAAAGCCACCCTGAATGTGGATGGCACCACTCCAAGGGTTGGGGTCTTGGACTGAGTGAAAAGAAAACAAAGAAAAGCTTGCCGCAAGCAGTGTCACACTCTTCCTGCCATCATGCCTTTCCCACCACGATGGCCTGTGTCCCCAAACTGTGAGTTAAAAGAGCTCCTCCTTCCACAAGGCTTCTTGGTAGGTATCAGGTCAACAGTGGGGAAAGTGGTCAATATGGCAGGGTGATATTTCCAACATGGGGGACTAAGTAGTGATGTTGGGCAGCTTCATGAAGAGAGCAACTTTCACCAGTGTGTGTGTGTGTGTGTGTGTGTGTGCGTGTATGTAGAGGCAAAAGGTGACACCAGTATCTTCCTCAGTCTTTCTCCACCTTAGTTTTTAGACATTCTCTCACTGAACCTGAAGCTCACTGATTTGGCTCAGCTTGTTGACCTGCAAGCCCCGGGTTTCCTGCCGTCTCTTGTTTGCTCAACACTGGATTTACAGTTGTGCACTGCTGTATCTGGCTTTGCCTTAACTGTGTGCTGGGGATAGAGCTCCAGTCCTCATATTTATGTGGTAAGCACTGACTGAACCATCTCTCCCAGACCCCGTCTTCCCACCCGCCACGACCCAAGTTCTATGCCAATAAAATGCTTCCTTGAATCTAGCTCCTCTCTAGCTTTGTAATCTCTCCAAGTCTTCTCACCAAGGGAGCATTACCAGTAACAAATGAAATGAAGACACTCAACATTCAACCCAGCATGATAGCATCTGAAAACAATAACACTAAGTTAGAGCTTTGTTTTCCCATGAGTAACACAGGCAACGGCATTCCAGCTAGATGGGTTCTGCAGCTGAGTAAGTCTAGAGAACACTAAACAGAGACAAGTTGTAGGAATATTCAAGGTTAACAGATGATGTATGAGTCATCATGCTTGTCAGAGATGTGACACTTGTGGTGGAGTTTAGGGTGTCCTGGAACACATTTTGGACAACACTGGCCTTCACTTGTAAAAAAAACAATAGACAATGATGTCACCAACCTTATCTTATTGCACTGAGCCTTGCAGTCCTGATTACATTAGTTTCCTTACCTTTCTCTTTGTGTGTGTGTATGTGTGTGTCAGATGCCAATTTTGGGTGCAGTTCAGGTGCAGTTTTTGAAACAGGGTCTCTCAGTGGCCTGGAGCTCACTGCTTTGGCTAGGCTGGTTGGTCTGTGAGTCCCAGGGGTCTACTTGTCTCTGCCTCCTCAGTCTTGAGATTACAAGTGTGTACCATCATGCCTATCTTTTTATCTTTTTATATATGAATGTGTGTGTGTGTGAGAGAGAGATGTGTGTGTGCACATGTATTTATAAGAGTTCTCTTTTGTGTGTGTGTGTGTGTGTATTCACACACATATTGCAGAGGCCAAAGGTTGACACTGGGAATCTTTCTTTTCTTTTTTAAAATATTATTTACTTGTTTTATTTTGTGTACATTGGTGTTTTGACTGCATGTCTGTCTCTGTGAAGGTGTTGGATTCTGGGGTTACAGACAGTTTGAGCTGCCATGTGGGTGCTGGGAATTGAACCTAAATCCTCTGGAAGAGCAGTCAGTGCTCATAAAAACTGAGCCATCTCTCCAGCCCCTCTGGGTGTCTTTCCTAATTGGGCTCCAACTTGTACCTTGTATATTGAGGTGTGATCTCTCACTCAGCCTGGAACTCACCTATTCTGCTAGTCTGGCTAGCCAGCTTACTCTGGTAATTTCTCTGTTTCCCATGTGCCAGAACTATAGCCAGGCTGCCACACCCATCCAACTTTTATGTGGGTTCTGGTGATTTGTACGATAGTCCATACCCTTGCATGGCAAGTGCTTTACCCACTCAGCTATCCCCAGCCCTACTTTTTAACATGGGCTTGAACTTGGGTCCTCATGCTTGTATGGCAAATACCTTATCAACTGAGTCATCTCCCCAACTCCTACATAACTTACTCAGAATACTTTTTACCACTGTAAATAATAATAATAATAATAAAACTCTATTTAACAAAAATACCGAGAAGTCGAAGGAAAAGCAATCTTTCCCAGAGCCGCCATTGCCCACATATGGCTGCATCTTCTTCAGGCCTTTATCTGAACAGCACACAGGGGTCTGTCCAGACGTGTGCCTCTGCCACCCATTAACACACGCACATGGCAGACATGGGATGGTGTCACGTTTCTCTCCTGCATTTAACCAAACACACCACAGCATGCACTTTATCCTATTCATAGTGTTGGGTCCTATGAGCACGTCGAGCATCCAGGGAGTCAATAAGAAGCATTGACGCCGAGACCAGAGCACTAGGTGGCCTGTGGCCAAGAACAAAGCACCATCTCTGTACTTTAGGAACTCTGGGGACAGACCACTTATGTGAAAATGGCAGTTCTGTAT